TGCCCCTCTCGTTTGTGACTGGGATGCCGAGGATCACAAAGTGGGTGTGAATAACCATGCAAATGTACATGGTGCCCTCATTGTTACAGTCACCTATTCGATGTGCTGGTTAACCACACACGCTCCATCGAACTATGACAAACAATGAGTCACCCTTTGCCACCTTTGCTTAGAACCCAATTAATGTGCCGGTTAACCACACGCGCTCCATTAACGTCTTAGCAAGGGTACAAAGTGTAATTTCATGGAATTGCATCAATTCACTTTTGCCTAAAGTAACTAAGATTGGGAATTTTGTGAAAACATTTAGTTACTTTATATAGATTCATTATACTTTTAATGAGGAAAGGTTTGCCCGATCCTACCCGTTCGGCTAACGACCCTCCACCAATCAAGGAAGCGGTGGGTGAGAATGGACACCCATTAAACGGCCATTTTATAGGCCATAACCTTATACCCCCCTTATAGATCGGCTTCGTGAATGAGGCCTACTAACGGTAATTAAGACTAGCATTTAGTTATATATATATATATATTAATCTTATAATATTATAAGTATAAGGTTGAATTTTAAAACTTGTAAAATTCTAAGGTTTGAAATTTAAATAGTTCAAATTAAACTTTTAATCACAAAATTTAAATTTCAAAACTTGAGGACAAGTTTTGAACTTTTCAAAACATAAAGGATCAAATAGCAAATAATATAAATCAACTAATTAATTTAATGATTATCTAAATTTGACCTAGTCAATATTACTTGCAAGACATTCCACCATTAATTCAAATAATCAATTATTATCAAATAAGGAAATTATTATTTAACAAATGGTAATTATCTTTTGTTTTGTCAAGGATATAGTCAAAATATATGATAAAATTCGGATTTAATGACCCAAAACGATTTAGGCAAGTATCCTCAAGCAAAACAGCAAGAAATCCCGAAAATCACTCTGACAGACGCTGGACTCGCGAGTCCCATTATGGACTCGCCGAGTTCATCATGCTACTCGCCGAGTCCACAATGGGACTCGCCGAGTCTGTCAGTCAGGGGCAAAAAAAATCGATTTTTCATGGCAGAACATCAAACAATGCATCAATTCAATAGAAATCAATCTAAGCTCTGATACCACTGATGGGTTTGAGCCATAAGAACTTTCCTATGTGCACATGCAAACCCTAATGCTTGGATCTAGGTTTCTCTAATTGAACATGCAATGTATCCAAGGCTTACATCCTAGATCTAGTGAATACAATTTAAACATAACATATGAAATCAGATCTAGATGAATACTTAAGTTGCTTGTGAATCTTCTTGTTCTTGGAGCTTAGAGTCACAATTGTCACTCCTCTAATGGCTTACAAACACCAACTAGCAAGAGGATGATTTGGAGAGAGAGGAGATGTGTAGAAATCGGCTCTAGGGTTCCCAAGGAAGCAAGTGGCCGATTTCTCCAACCCATAGGGTCTATTTATACTATGAGCTACTAGGGTTCATCCTTAACCCTAATTGAATAACTTAGGCCCTAAGCAATCCAAGGATCCTTCTAAATTAGGCTTGGACGAATTCAAGGAGCCCATTACCCTTAATTCGGCCACCCCTAGTTCTATAAGGATTCATAGCCCAAAAACACAACTATCACACAAATTGACAGTTTAACCCCTTTATTAATTAACCTCTTTTAGTCACCAAATTAATTCCTAATTAATTTATGACTAATATTATAAATAATATTATTATTCCTTTAATATATTATTCTCATAATATATTAATATAAAATATCTCTTCTCTCTTCATAAATCACCCTGTCAAGTTGCTATGGTGAAGGCAACCCAAAAGGACCATGCACAACCGGGTCAAGTACTTACAAATATAGTTACGGGCTTAGACA